GTTTTTCCTTCTATAGAAAGAAGTGGAGAGACTGAAGAATGTTTCTGCTCCTTTCACATGTGCTACGTGCTCATTTGTCATATGGGGGAAGGCCTGCGTCCTCTTGGCTTACCACTGTGTTCTCAGTAACTAGCATTGTTCATGGCACACAGAAGGCATCAAATACATATTTGTTGGATAAAGGAATGAAGGAGTGAATAAAGGAACTGGTAGTGAATATTTATTGCCTAGAGTCTTAATAATAGACAACAAATGAAACTGCCCCTAAAAGGTATTCACACAGCTGTCTACCAGACTTTCAGACAATCTGATGTTTTCATTTATCCAGCAAATACTCATTAGACATTTAGTAAAACTGTGACCAGGGCCTTGAGATAGACAGATATCAACAAGACTCCATTTCTAGCCCCAAAGCACCAAAACAACAATATGTAGAGCCATTTCACACAGGTGCAAGGGAGTAGAAGGACCCAATGCAGATTATATCAGGCAATGTCATCACAGTCACCAACACCTGACTTCCAAAACATCGACCCAACAAAATGTCATCATGGAATTTTTGTGCCTTTTTACGACACCTTCACCCTCCATCAGGTGAGTACGATCTGCTCCAGATTCATGCTCAAGATGTTTAATTTTAGTAAATAGGAAAATGACTCTCAAAATTAGAGTTGTAAAATATAATATTTCCATTTTATCTAAGACATTTTTTCCCTTGAAATCTCTACCTTACCATGAAGTAAAAGTTCATTTTCCTTTTTTTTTTTTTTTTTGAGACAGAGTTTTGCTCTTGTTACCCAGGCTGGAGTGCAATGGCGCGATCTCGGCTCACCGCAACCTCCGCCTCCAGGGTTCAGGCAATTCTCCTGCCTCAGCCTCCTGAGTAGCTGGGATTACAGGCACGCACCACCATGCCCAGCTAATTTTTTGTATTTTTAGTAGAGACGGGGTTTCACCATGTTGACCAGGATGGTCTCGATCTCTTGACCTCGTGATCCACCCGCCTCGGCCTCCCAAAGTGCTGGGATTACAGGCGTGAGCCACCGCGCCCGGTCCGTTTTCCTTTTTAAATCACAGTTTTATTTCATTGCCAAAGTCCTAGAAGAAAGAAAGGTATTGCTTTTTAAATGGAGATAAAACACCATGTTAATTATCAGCTGTACTGTAATGGAGAGGATAACCATGAAAAATAAAAGCACATGTACCACTGCACTAAATAAATTCCTCATAGCGAGGTCTCTGCAATGCTGAATGAAGGGTTTAGCTGTCACATATCCAGTTGCATGGGGATCTTTTTTCATTGCCTGACCTATTGTAAATCCACCTAAGGGAAATTTTATTATTTAATTTAACAATCATAGTATGTCTGCTATTTATGCAATCACTATGCACCCTTAAAGAGGGAAAACCCCGAATCTCTATTTAGCCAAAGCCAAAGATTTTCTATGAACAACCAAAGATGCCAGATATAAGAATTGGTGTTAACTGTTGGTGGGGGTGTAAATTACTTCAACCATTGTGGAAGACAGTGTGGCAATTCCTCAAAGACATAGAGGCAGAAATACCTTTTGATCCAGCAATTCCATTACTGATTATATACCCAAAGGAATATAAATTATTCTATTATAAAGAAACATGCATGCATATGTTCATTGCAGCACTATTCACAACGGCAAAGTCATGGAATCAACCTAAACACCTGTCAATGATAGACTGGATAAAGAAAGTGTGGTACATATACACTATGGAATACTATGCAGCCATGAAAAGAAATGAAATTGTGTCCTTTGCAGTGACATGGATGGAGTTGGAAGCTATTATTATCAGCAAACTAACCCAGGAACAGAAAAACAAACACCACACGTTCTCACATATAAGTGAAAGCTGGTGAATGAGAACACATGGACACATGGGGGGAGGAACAACAACACACCTGTCAGGGGTGGGGGAGGTGGGGGAAGGAAGAACATCAGGAAGAATAGCTAATGAATGCTGGGCTTAATACCTGACTAATGGATGATCTGTGGAGTAAACCACTATGGCACACGTTTACCTATGAAACAAACCTGCATATCCTGCACATGAACCCCTGAACTTAAAATAAAAGTTGAAACAAAAACAAAAAACTACTATAGAATTAAGTCAACTTAAAGTCATGAAATGACAGTGTTATTATCATAAAAATAGTAAATAAACTAATTTTCCAATGAAGATCATTGGTTAAATACATTTAATGATATTCACATGATAGAAAATTATGCAAGCTTTAAAATGTATGTCTGGGCTAATGTTTAATGGCATGGAAGAAATGCTTGTAGTAGCACTCATTTTAAGTGAATAAATTCAAGAAACAAAATTTTTTTTAAAAGAATTGGTATTTAAAACTAAAAAATGTGAAAACATTAATTCTAGAAATTTATATCAAGAAAATAAACAGGTGTTTAAAATGTACACAAAAGGATGTTCACCACATCATTATTTATAAAAGTGAGAAACTGCAATATAAATATCCAATAACAGTAGATTAATTAAATAAATTTGTATCTATCCTAACAATGGAAAATCTTACAGCCATTAGAAGAGATGATGTAGACTGCACATACTATTACTAGAAAAATATTTGCAATGTACTGTTGAATTTATTATATTTTTGTTTTATTTGCATACACATTGGTATTGAATGGTCCAGAAGACTATAAATCAAAATATTAGCAGTGTTTGTTAAATGTCACTTTTACAAATGAAAATAGTGTTGCTTTTATCCTTTAAATACCAACCTTGAGGAAGTACAGATTTTTAAAGAGGCTTTTTAATTTCCTATGCTCAGCTATTGCACAAATACATATGAAGAAATCACTCAAAAAAAAGTCTAATGTAAATTTGTCAGCAGCATGAATAATCTTTTTTAAAAGTATTTTTTATGATAACACTTGGACAATGAATAGTTATTTTTCCAAAATAAAAAATTGTAAAGCTATTTTTTCACAAGTTTATATATTAAAAAATATTTAATTGTATGAGAAAATACTAAAGGTTTTGATTGAATAAAAGAGGATTTAAAATTAAATATACAAAATACATACAATTTAGTAATATACACATGCAAACAAACATACACGAAACAGACTGTTTACAATGAGTACTTCTGAGTGAGGGAATTTGAGCAGGCTTTTTCTTCTTTTTACTAAACTTAAAATTTTTGTATAGTAATTATGTATTCTTTCCAAAATCAGACAAATAATAAACGCTATAAATTGTTTAAATGAACACGGGGGACATAAAATCATGTACTATATATGTTTATTTTATCAATAATGGAAACACACACTTTGTTCTAAAAGGCTCTTTTCTCATTATGGTCACCTGGAAATCTCTGGTAGTGTCCTCTGTGCTTAACATCTGAAAAATGGAGAATGTGTGGTTCTGAATTCATTTCCACTTCCTCCTGGCACCTAATTAGAGCAACACAGCTCTTACGGTCTTGGCTGCTTCCCTCTCATGCAACGTCACGGCTAGAAGGCAGTTCAACCGAAAGGGGAAAAGAAATCGATGGCTTCAACTCATTATCATTATCCAAAACAGACAAACTACAACCAACCCTTGGAATCCCACATTACTCAATTTCACTGATTTAACGAATGAAACTAGGAATCTCCTCTTATCTATGGAGGATACATTCCAAGACCCCCAGTGGATGTCTGAAATTTCAGATGACACCAAGCCCTATATACTGCTTTTTTCTATTTTTTCCTATACATACATACCTATGATAAAATTTGATTTATAAATGAGGCACAGTAAGTGATTAACAATAATAGCTAATAATATGGAACAATTATAACAATACACCTACATCATCTTTCTTGCATTTCGGGGCCATTATTAAAGTAAAATAAGTGTTCCTTGAACACAAGCACGGTGATCCCACAACCAAGATAGATATTAGGTGACTCATGGGCAGCAAGTGTCAACAGTATGGAATCGCTGAATGCAGGGAAGAGTCACATCCCAGGCAGGACGTAGTGGGAAAAAGTGAGATCTCATCACACTACTCAAAACAGAGCACAATTTAAAACTCATGAATTGTTTACTTCTGGAATTTTTCATTTATTATTTTTGGACCAAATTAACCATAGGCAACTGAAGCCATGGAAAGCAGAACCATAGATATGGGAAAACTGCTGTTAATTAGCCTATAAATTTTATCAAATCAGGGACCATGCCTTGTATTGATCACTGTATTGCCAGCATCTAACTGGTACACGATAGGCATTCAGCAAACATGGTTGAATGAATGATTGAAATCAGTTGATTTATTGCTGGGCTCTTCTGCCTTCCATAAAATTTTGCAGGCCATAATACAGTACCCTTAACACTAACTGTAGAAAAAAGAGGGTGTATCACAAGGTCACATTTCATTTTAAGATATTCTTTTACTGAAAGTACAATTAATAGGCATAGAATGTGTCCAAAGACACAAATTTTCTCTTCATTATGGACTAATAATTAGCAATTATTCAGCATCTAATCCTCTCAAGGTAACTACTGCCACCTGTGGCTAAGGCTCAGGAAGACTATGTACGTTGTTCAATGTCACAAAGTTAATAATAAATGACAGAACCAGGATTAGATCCTGATCTCTGGGACTTCAAAGTCCAGATATTTTCCAGGTGGGAACAAGCTTCCTGTCATCCCACCCAGCCAGGTGAGGATGGCTGTGGATTCTATATTAGTTATCTGATTTAATTATCATCACAAACCTATGAAGTAGATTAGCACATTACACGCATTTTGCAGATGACACAACAAAGGTACAAAGACGTTAAGGAACTTCCCAAGGTCACACAGCTCCTGATAGAGCCAGGTCAGATTGAGAAGCTAAAATAGATTATTTTCCCAGAAATCTATCAAATCCATTATGAGAGAATGCATTAATGATATATAGTCATCATTATTTCCAAGATGATTCATAACTTTCTCAAAAGACTAACTGGCCATACTCTACACTAACTTGCATAATTATTCAATTGATCCAACTAGTTTCCTAAAATCCTCTGTTCTCAAATGAAGACTGATGGACTCCCAAGTTGCCAAAAACAAAACAAAGCAAAAAAAAAACCCACTACAATTTTCCACTTGAGTATTGATTATACAGTACAGACCAAAAACTCTCCAACCACCTCCATTTGCAAGGCAGAGAACAAAAGCACAACTGTATCTAATATTGAGAAGTTATAACCAAACCAACAAACTGATAAAACAGGTTCCATTGTCCTCCCTGGACAAATATACCTGCATAACAATCTGGAATGCCATATTCAAACTTAGACTTCTGAAACTCCAGGAAGTTTGGTCCTGCAACCTAGGGACACAGGGCAAGCCTCACGTGCATATGTGGGCTCCAAGGCACCATATCAAAGTTCCTTTCACAATGTCCCCTTCCCTGAAAGAGCTTTCCCTTGGCCATCCCTTGTGCCCTCTGGTGTGTTGTATAGGACTGTACATACTGGGGGTGGAAGGGGAAGCCACTCTCAGGGTGAAGATTGGGGAAAATGCCCCACACAGGCAGGCAGGCTGGCTGTGGAAGCAGACTTGGGTCATTAGGGCAAAAAATTGCAGGGTCTAGAAAGGCCCCATTAAGACACTGCCTCAAAGGGTAAAACCAGAGAAAATGAAGGATGTGGCCCCTTAAAGTATAGGGCACAGAGCATGGACCCCTCTCATCAGGGGAACACTAATGAGAATCTTCAACAGCTCTTACATGTACTTTCAACAGAGACGTTAACTTAAATAAATACCCTAAAACGCCTCCCCTCTCCCTACCCTCTCCTGACCAAGACCTATTTATCAAGTACGGTTTATTCAGTCCTCTTCCAAGAGGACTTCTCTAGCAACTCAGGCCCACAGACACACCTCCTTTCTCTAAACAGTCATAGCATTTACATTGTGGTTTCCAAATTTAGTTCTTAATTACACATATTTTCAAGGTTTTTTAAATCCTGTCAGTTGGGCGGATTTTGTTTCTGTAAATCAGTGGTTCTCAATCAGGGGCAATTTCCCCCCCCCCCCAGGGGGTATTTTGCCAAGTCTGGAGACATATTGGGTTGTCTCATTTAGTGGACAGAGGTCAGGGAAGCTGCTGAACAGTCAACAATGTGCCGGACAGCTCTCCACAGCAAAGCAGCGTGCCACCTAAAACATCAAGAGGGTTGAGACTAAGAACCTCTGCTCTAGAGTAAGAGCACTTTGAGAATACAGATGATGCTTACTCCTCTGATCTGCCACATTGCCAAACAGAGTGCTGGACACACAGTAGGTCTCATTAAATATTAGTCGACCAAGCCACAATGAGATACCAGCTCACACCAGTTAGAATGGTGATAATTAAAAAAATCAGGAGACAACAGATGCTGGAGAGGATGTGGAGAAATACGAACACTTTAACACTGTTGGTGGGAATGTAAATTAGTTCAACCATTATTGGAAGACAGTGTGGTGATTCATCAAGGATCTAGAAATAGAAATACCATTTGACCCAGCAACCCCATTACTGGGTATATACCCAAAGGATTAGAAATCATTCTATTATAAAGACATATGCACATATATGTTTATTGCAGCACTGTTCACAATAGCAAAGACTTGGAACCAACCCAAATGCCCATCAATGATAGACTGGATAAAGAAAATGTGGCACATATACACCATGGAATACCATGCAGCCATAAAAAAGGACAAGTTCATGTCCTTTGCAGGAACATGGTTGAAGCTGGAAATCATCATTCTCATAAAAGTAACACAAGAACAGAAAATCAAACATCATTGCATGTTCTCACTCATCAGTGGGTGTTGAACAATGAGAACACATGGACACAGGGAGGGGAACATCACACACTGGGCCTATCGGGAGGTGGGGGGCTAAGGGAGGGATAGTATTAGAAATACCTAATATAGATGACCAGGTGATAGATGCAGCAAACCACCATGGCACGTGTATAACTGCGTAACAAAACTGCACGTTCTGCACATGTACCCCAGAACTTAAAATATAATTTAAAAAAACAGTTGTTGACTGATTTGGTGGCCGTCTGGTTCCACACCATCCTAAGCATTCATTCACATGATATTTAAGCAAAGTTTGGTGTTCCAGGGACCATCCTGGGCTTTGGGAATGCAACTATGAATGAGGCACAGTTCCCGCCTGTGAGAAACTTAAAATTTAGCAGGGAAGCCAGCTAAGTGCACTTGCATTTGTAATACAGCAAGATTAATGCACCTGTTGCTACCAGTTATTTGCATATAACTCTGTTTATTTTCTGTCTCGCATCATTAGCCTATAAATTCCAATAAGGCAAAAATTTTGTTCAGTTCAAGCTACAGACACAGCATCTCCTATAGTAGACACAGAGTGACAGGTACTTTGGATAACTGAAAGCATTACAATCATATGTAACATGGTATAAAAAAAAAGGCAATAAGCTTCTAAGCCCAGCCTGGGAAGGGAGGAAGGAGTAAGGGAAGCCGCCTTGAGAACTAACAAGGACTGAGCATTCATTATTTGCTGGAAATAGTTCTAAGCATTTTCAACACATTATCTAATCTAATTCTTATAACAATCCTATAAGAAGCTGCATTGTACAGATATAGAAATGAGCAGTGAAGGCTGATTTGCTCAAGAACACAGCAAGTGATGAAATCAGGATTTGAACACAGCTGACTTCAGAACCTGTGCTCTTAACCACTATAATGCACTATTAAGAGATGAGAAGGAACAGTCCAGGAAAAAGGCAGGAAGATGTGGTCTTAAAGTCAAGTCATTCCAGGTGGAGGGGATAGCTCGAGCTAAACCAATATAGCCTGGCCTATTTCAGGAACCATAACGATTCCAATATTGGCAAAGATTAAAAAGGAAAACTAAGGAAAGATGACATTGGAGAAGTAATCAGAGCCAAATCATGAGAGAGATGTATACAGCATTGCTTCATTTATCCAAAATTAACAGGGAACAAGCATGCGGTTTAGAATTAAATAGCTCCAGGTTGGAAATCAAGCTCCATCATTTTGTTCATGGATCTCTCTAAACCTCCATATCCTTATCTGTAAAACAAGGAACATACACAAACCTACTTTATAAGGTTGCTTTGGGGACAAAAAACATATATAAGTGCTAAGAACCGGGCCTGGTATATTTTATGTATTCAATAAATGTTAGTGATTGGTTTTTACTATTGCAATTATTAGGGATGGAATTTCTCCACATTTGTAAATTTGCAACATAATTGTAGTGTATTTTCTTGAGCACCAAAACTCATTCAACCATCTTTTTCCTAAACTACCTTTTCAAAGTGAATTTCACAAATCCCCAACTTACAAACACTAAACTTACATTTTATCTGTACAGATGGCTGCACATACACTCATACCCTCCATTTTCAATGCCCTTCTCCTGCCACCAGGACAACTATGGAAATTTCTGAGCTTTTATCATCCCTGGATTCAAAACTAGGGAAATAAAATAGGGCACATGAGGGTGGAACTGCTGGAAGTAGTCGTTTCTTCAGAATTTTGGAAAAGAAAGAACTTGACTGCTAAGAGTAATGGTTACCACCCAGGGAGTCAACAGAATTTTCAAAACAACAACTTTGCTGTGTTAACCTCTATTCTGTTTCCCAAACCCACCAGTAAGAGTGATGTGTCATCTCTGCTGATGGTTAACCCGCAGCCAGTACCCTCAGATCCTTGATGTTTGTCCATTTCTAATGAGCCACATCTTAAGTACCTTCAAAGATTCCTGGCTTCATCTTACCACCCAGCCGACTTTCCTATGGTGGTCTCCATGGGTGACTTCGTAACTTTCCATACAATAAACATACCAGGCACTTCCAAATCTCTCCGCCTTCACCTTTGCTGTCCTCTCTGCCTGGAATATACTACTATCCTTGCCTCTTACCACCATGCCACCCTACCATCCTTCGAGGCTTACTCCAAACACCACATCCTCTCTGAAACCCGATTTCCCTCCTTTCAGTAGAATTAAATGTCATGTTCTGGGAATGTCCCCAGCATTTAGCTGGTGTTTCTATTGTTATAACAATCACATATTAAACAGGTGCTGTCTATATGACAGCATGTAATTCTCACCACAAACTTATAAGACATTTTTACAAGCCTCATTTTACAAACGGAAGAACTGAAACCCTGAGAGCTGGACTTAACAATGATTACACAACCAGAAAGCGATACAGCCAGGTTTCCAACCATGTTTTGACAGCTCCCAAATCCACAAGATTTTCACTCTGCTATTTCACTTTCACAAGGTTTCCTCTCTTTGATAGCCCTATTTCTAGTTAGTTGATTATATACATTACTTGTCTCTTCCACGGGATTATAGCAACTCTCTTAAACACCAGGGCATGCTCATTTTCATAAATGTGGATAATAATGTATCCACTTATACAAGATTCTTATGAGGATTAAATGAGACAATACATACTAGTATAGTGTCAGGCAGATAACAAGCACCTAATAACTTGTTAGTTTAATTGTTACTATTATTATTATCATGCCAGGTGCCAAGAATAAAATCTTGCACATAAATTCTGAGTTCAGGTTCATTTCTGAGGAGCAAATGAAATGGGTGAGGATCTGATGGAAGAAACTCACAATGCTTTCGTTTGGCATTTCCCACAATACCACTCAATCAGAAGCAACAAGAATGAAGACAGTTTCTACGATGGGATCTATTGATTTCTTTATCTATTACCATATCAACATTAGGAAAACTTCCTGTTCCGTTCAGAACTCTTACAGCTTTCTTTCTTTCTGCCACCTCCTATGCAGTTTGAAAAGGTTCTCCTCTGAGAATTCAGTACATATCAAGTTCTCAGCTAGAAGAAGAAAATTACAAAAGTAAATGGAAGCACAGAGGGCAAAATAAAATCTGAAATTTTGGTGTTTATAAACAGAGTAAACACTCTCTTTTCTCTTCACAGAATTTAACTGTATGTTAAGTCATTGCATTTATTTAATCGTGTGTCAATCATCCTCTACTAGGAGGTAAGCTCTTAGTAGAGGAGGCTATCTATCCATCCTATTCACTGCTCTCCCCCGGGGCCTAATATATATCATGAAATATTGGTTGATTGATTGCAAATATTTATATTTATGTATGTATGCACATATATATTTTTATGCATATATGACATCATTCCATGACTTGTGAATAAATGGGCATACATCTCCACATATAAGTGCACCTTGTGCATATATTTGTATTTATACAGAATATGTTTCAGACTGGAGAAAAACAGATGCTTGTTTGTCGAAGTTGTGTCTCCTTAACATGATAATGGCTTCTGATGGACCTGTCTAATATTTAACAAATATACACTACTGCCATATACTAACAATCCAAATGTAAAAGAACATTGAATGTGCACATAAAAAATAATTAACTTAAACCAAGAAACTTCTACCTTTTAAAATGTCTTGTCTCTGTTTATTAGCATAAGTGTATCTGGCTGGGGAGAGGGGTAGGGACCAATAATGTTTCTCAGTAAATCTGGCAGGAGAAACATTCCAAATTCTCACGGGCTGGCCAGATTTCCTTATTTAGGTTGTAACATATACCAGAAATTATAATTTATAACAATTATAAAGCAATCATTTTCTGGGTACGCAATGTACCAGATACTCGGCATCAGTTTTTATTTAAAATTTAAACTTTATGGCCAAGCACAGTGGCTTATGCCTGTAATTCCAGCACTTTGGGAGGCCACGGTGAGTGGGTAACAAGGTCAAGAGTTCAAGACCACCCTGGCCAACATGGTGAAACCTCATCTCTACTAAAATACAAAAATTAGCTGGGTGTGGTGGTGGGTCCCTGTAGTTCCAGCTACTAGAGAGGCTGAGGCAGGAGAATCATTTGTACCTGGGTGGAGGAGGTTGCAGTGAGCCAAGATCATGCCATTACACTCCTCCAGCCTGGGCAACAGGGTGAGACTCTCTCTCAAAAAAAGAAATTAAGCTTTATAACTATCCTGCAGTGTAGATAAACAAGAAAGCCAGAACTCAAAAAATATAGTAAGTTGCCAAAGATTCTCTGCTGTTTATCTAGTCACGGTACACTCAGTATACATATTTAGAATTCTACTCTGAAGCTCAAACTTGTTTCAATAAGTAATGGTGCTTTTTACACAGTTTTACAGACACTAACTTTGAGGGATATGTGTATGGGTTTTAACAAGTAATTCTCTGCACATAGAGACCAGACCAAATAACAGCCAAACACACTGAAGATTACTCCAGGCTACAGAAAGCAAGGAGCAAATGTGTCTCAGAAACTATCAGCCTGTGTTTCTCAGAATATGAAGCATTTTCCACTTGATTGTGTCCTCTAACAAGAAATCTATTCTCTAGCAGGGCTTCATTATTCCTCCTCCTATATTTAAAAAAAAAGGACTCTTTCATTGCAAACCGATGGGAAGTTCTTAACTCATTTCCTTACATCACTTGAAACGAAAGTGCTTTCTGTCTTTAGAGAAAAGCACTGCTGGATGTGATGCCTTTTGCCAGCTTTTGAGTCCCACAATCAATACTGTGAAGGAAAGAAAAAATTAACCCTTAGTTACTTTTAGGAAAAGTGGGGCTATTTTTAAATTCAATGATGATAGAGTTCTAAAAAGAGAAGGAAAGTCCTTCCTTCCAAGGAGAATGCAATTGCCTTCCTCTAAACAAACTGGCTCTATTATCTTCCTAACCCTCTTTCCAGGAGGAGGCCTGAGAAGGAGAGGGAAATCCGATGTTTAAAAGTTTTTTTAAAAAATGTATAGATGCTCCTGAATATTTGTAAATAACTGCAGTGAAAAATGTTGACGTTGGAATTCACCTGCCCCTGCACTGATTAGAAAGATCCTCTGCAGAGCAGAGGAGAGCATTTCCCACCCAGACCACTACAATCACAGGAAGAAGCCAACCACAGTATCTTCAGCCCTAGGGACTAAAGGTGAAAGGGGGCACCTCGCAGTGGTGGAAGCACCAATGTGTTCCCTCAGCATGTCTGGGGAGGTGGAGAGAAAGGGGAAGCAGTTCTGCCTTCCCTTCAATCTAACTACACAACCTCTGCTGCCAGGAACTTATTTTTGGACATTTAATCTAAAATTCCCAGAAAGGAAGGGGATTTACAACCTCTGAATTGATCCACAGAGTTCTGATTTCCAACCTGGCTTGGGGATTTTGTTTGTGTTCTGACTTCAAGTGCCTACCTACAGTACATCTCCAGTCTTCCAGAGGCATCCACAGTCTAAGCCAATAAAAAGAGCTTGGAGCTCTGGAGCTTTAAGTGATGAAAATTCCAGCCCCCGCAGGTCAAAAGTAATGACCTTGGGGAAGTTACTCATCCTTCTAAAGAATCAATTTGTGGTCGGCAAGATGAGATAATAATACTGGAAAGTTGAGGTTTCAACACAAAAATTGCACAGTAACGTCTCTTAGTAGGACGTCAGTAAGTGCTAGGCATTTGCTGTGGGCACACTGCACAAAGCTGCGGGATCTGTCCATGTTTCCAGTGCCCATCACTCCCACGTTGGGGATTTATGTTACCGAATGTGCACTCCACCTCGGGGAGATGTCTTTTACCTGCTTCTTGTTCTCTACAGCTTCAAATGTCTGCATAGCCCAAGAGATAAATCCTCATTAAGTACAAGAGACTAAGTTATACTGGGTTCTCCTTGCCTCTGGTTATCCGCAAATTGTTAAATACAACTCCGGCTTGGGAAGAAATGTGTAGTCTTTACGTGCGCAAGGCAGGTGTCTGCATATCTCTGGGGGTCGGGGATGGGAAAGGGACCGTGAATAAGTCTCCAGGTTGGGAATGGCACAAATGGAGGGAAGGGACAAGGAAGAGCGGCTGAAAGGGACGTCTCTGCAAGGCGGTGCAAGGCAGTCCTCGCAGGTGACCCTGTCCTCTGCACACCAGGAGGAAAGGACGCTAGAGGGGAGGAGCCGCGAAGGCAGGAGTACCTGAACGCTCTGGCCGCGGTCTGGTTCCTCCTCCACGCCGTGCCCTGTTGCAGCACCCCCTGCACGATCTCCTTCTCGTTAGGCAGCCGGTAGACGGGGAAGATGTAGAGCCAGCAAAGGACCACGACACAGAGGGCACTGGCTCCCATGGGCAGCCGGGTCCGCGGGAACTTCCACGCCAGTACAGCCATGGCCCCTCTAGACGTTTGTCGCCGGGCCCGCCCGCAAGGGCTCATCTCAGCCCCGGCGTCCCAGGGGCGGGGGCCGGGGCCTCAGCACAAAGCTAGGCGAAGTGGCAGCAGAGGGTCCCCCACCGCCGGCCCCCCATGCACACACACCTTTCGGTTTCCTGCTTGTAAATGCACGCACGCTTCTTCAGTCCCGTCGGCCCCAAAGGTCAGAGCAAGGATTTTTTTAAATGCAACTTTTCCAAGGATTTCTTTCTAGGGGAAGTGGCTGGGGGGCAAGTCACGATTTATGGCCATGGTCGTTTCCCCTGCAGAAGGCGGGTGCTGGGGTCTCCAAGAGCGCAGAGAGCACCGGCGGCGAGTCGCTCCCGCCGGTTCTGCAGCATCACGGTCGCCCTCGGCGAGGGTCCGGGAAAAAGCTCGGCTGTCTCCCAGACATTTGGCCCGTGGCGTCCCCTTGTCCCCTTCCGAGAGCGATGCTCCTGCGCCCTTCGCAGCCTCCCGCGCTGCTGCGCCCCCAGGCAACCCCCCCTCCTCCAGACGCGCTCTCTGCGCCGCGCCAAGTCCTTGGAAATTTCCACGGCGGCCCGGGACCGCTATCCTGCTCCGGGCTCCTCCGCCTCGTCCGCCAGGACCCTCGCTCCCCACCCCTCCCAGAGAAGAAAAGAACTCGCTCTCATCAGTTAATTCAGCGGCGCGCCGCAGCCTTCCCCTGCGCCCCGGACTTCGCAGACAAACGCCCGGGGATTGGTGGAAATCAAGGTCTCCCCCTCCCTCCCCCACCCGCAAAATTGCCTCCTTCGACCCGTTGCGAGCCGCGACACTAGCCCAGAGCGCGCACCCCTCACTAGTGCCCTTGTTCTTTGGAGATAACGGCAGACAATAAAAAACAACAGCACCCCGCCAATAGAAATAGATCCGTTCTCGAGTGTGGCGGAGACTGGCTAATATCCTGACCCTTCGACACTCGGCCAGTGTGCCCAGGCTGTCACCCTGCTGCCGTAACCCTCGTCTTTCTCTAACTGGTTGGCTATAAACCTGCAGCCAGGCGCAAGAGGCTGGCGGAGATTTATTCCTTCCTGGGCCCCCACCCCCATTAGCCGGTCCCGGAGCCGCGGCCCGCGTGCGCGCGCGCGCCCGTACACACACACACACACACACACACACACACACACACACACACACACACACACGCACGGACGCTCACGGGCTCCAGCGAGCGCGCGCACGAGGCGGTGCGTGCACTCCGGGGTCAGCCACCTCGCCGGGAAAGGCACTGCTGCATCCAGATGTGCAGGCGGCTGGTGCCCAAACATTAGACCTCAAGATGTCACAATGCCTTGGAGGCGCGTGGCCTTTTAGATTAAAGGACCTATGGTTCTTAAATGTCCTTCTCGCTCCGCCGATAAGCTTATCGCAAATCCGACCTTGGAAAAGCGCCACCCGCCTTGACCCACCAAGCGGAGGGAGTCACTGTTAGCCATTTCTGCTCGCCCGGGAGGCCGACGCATAGCTCGGGTACCTCCTAGCGGTCGCCTATTCTATTTGCTTAAGCATCTCGTCAAGCATAAAGTGTGCAAGGACAAAGAAGAAACCTGGTCAGCTTAGTCATCACAAAAACAACATCTAAGGCTCTAACTCCATATGTTCAGCCGACCAGGCTGCGGTGCCTGGTATCTTTTTCTAGCATCCTTCTCCACTGAGAGATGAAACTTGAGAAGTTGATACAAAGTTATTTACCAAAAGCGAAGTAGCATCCCAGATGACCACCTTAGTGTCATATTCTCAACAATACTGTGCTCTCTGAGTGACCTACTGCCCTCCACCGGCAGTCATGCCCAAGAAATCTCTGTCCTACTTAGGTAAATCAGTAGAGACAGGGAAACCTTGAAATCCCAGTCACATCTTACCACAGTGGAGGCTATTACCGATTCTTTAAAATGAAGATCTTAAGTCCTGCAAAGTAACCAGCCAATTCTTCTATTCTGGAAAAGGGCTTGAAGTGAAAGGGGAGCTTTTCCTACTTTCCAGGGCTTTGGATAAATCATCTGCCATCTTTAATCTTCTAATTTAAATAAAATACAACCATCCCCATTTCTTTCTTCCTCAAGTCCAAGGGATACTTGTAGAGTAAATAACAAAGAAATAAGCTGAAAAACAAAACAAAGGCATATTACACTTAGAAAGGGGCTACGTAGCCGGGCGCGGTGGCTCACGCCTGTAATCCCAGCACTTTGGGAGGCTGAGGCGGGTGGATCACGAGGTCAAGAGATCGAGACCATCCTGGTCAACATGGTGAAACCCCGTCTCTACTAAAAATACAAAAAATTAGCTGGGCATGGTGGTGTGTGCCTGTAGTCCCAGCTACTCAGGATGCTGAGGCAGGAGAATTGCCTGAACCAGGAGGCGGAGGTTGCGGTGAGCCGAGATCGTGCCATTGCACTCCAGCCTGGGTAACAAGAGCCAAACTCCGTCTCAAAAAAAAAAAGAAAAAAAAGAAAAGAAAGGGGCTATGTAAATATTTCCTCATTTAATATTATAAGTATGCATTAAAATCATGCTTTATATGAAAAGATCTGTGACACAATGTGCTGTTTTTCTTTTTTCTGCAAACCAAGAATTTTCTTACCTTGGTGGGCTTTTGCCCACCCAACAATCCAAACTTATTCCCTGCTTTTTCTTCTTCATTTATTTATTTTTATTGTACTTTAGCTTCTGTGGTACATGTGCAGATCATGCAAGACTGTTGCATAGCGACATTCATGGCAAGGTGGTTTGCTGCCTTCATTCCCCCATCACCTATACCTGACATTTCCGCCCACGTTATCACTCTCCTCCCTTCCTCCCACTGACCCTCCCCTACCACCCCATCAATGGGTCAGAGTGTGTGATGCTCCCCTCTCTGTGTCCACATGTTCTTATTGTTCATCACCCGCCTATGAGTGAGAACATGAAGAGTTTGACTTTCTGTTCTTGTATCAGTTTGGTGAGAATGATGGTTTCCAGGTTCATCCATGTCCCTACAAAGGATATGAACCCATCATTTTTTATAGCTGCATAGTATTCCATGTGTATATATGCCACGTTTTCTTTGTGCAGTCTATCATTGATGGGCATTTGGGTTGGTTCCAAGTCTTTGCTATTGTAAACGGTGCTGTGATGAACATATGTGTACATGTATCTTTATAATAGAATGATTTATAATCCTTTGGGTATATACCCAGTAGCGGGACTGCTGGGTCAAATGATATTTCTATTTCTAGATCCTTGAGGAATCGCCACACTGTCTTCCACAATGGTTGGACTAATTTACACTCCCACCAACAGTGTAAAAGTGTTCCTATTTCTCCACACCCTCTCCAACATCTGTTGTCTCCAGATTTTTTAATGATTACCATTCTAACTGGCATGAGATGGTATCTCGATGTGGTTTCGATTTGCATTTCTCTAATGACCAGTGATGATACGCATGTTTTCATATGTTTGCTGACTTCATATATGTCTTCTTTTGAAAAGTGCTCATATCCTTTGCCCACTTTTGGATGGGTTTGTTTGTTTTTTTCCTTGTAAATCTGTTTTAGTTCTTTGTAGATTCTGGATATTAGCCCTTTGTCAGATGGGTATATTGCAAAAAATTTTTCCCATCTGTTGGTTGCTGTTTTGCTCTAATGATAGTTTCTTTTGCTGTACAGAAGCTCTAGAGTTTTATTAGATCCCATTTGTCTATTTTGGCTTTTGTTGCCATTGCTTTTTGTGTTTCAGTCATGAAGTCCTTGTCTATGCCTATGTCCTGGATGGTTTTGCCTAGGATTTCTTCTAGGGTTTTTATGATGTTAGGGCTTATGTTTAAGTCCTTAATCCATCAGGAGTTAAGTTTAATGTAAGGTGTCAGGAAGGGGTCCAGTTTCTGCTTTCTGCACATTGCTAGCCAATTTTCCCAACATCATTTATTAAACAAGCCCACTGCTTGTTTTTGTCAGGTCTGTCAAAGATTACATGGTTGTAGATATGTGGTGTTGCTTCCGAGGCCTCTGTTCTGCTCCATTGGTCTATATTTCTGTTTTGGTACCAGTACCATGCTGTTTTGATTACTGTTGTCTTATAGCATAGTTTGAAGTCTGGCAGCATGATGCCTCCAGGTTTCTTCTTTGTGCTTAGGATTGTATTGGCTATGCAGGTTCTTTTTTGGTTCCATATGAAGTTTAAAGTGGTTTTTTCAAGTTCTGTGAAGAAGATCATTGATAGTTTGATGGGGATAGCACTGAATCTATAAATTACTTTGGGCAATATGGCCATTGCTTTTTCTTAACAATTACACCAAATCTAATCAGGCCATCCCTCTTACTCTTCCAAGTCACACTATATTGGTCCATTCTCACACTACTATAAAAAATGCCACCGAGACTGTGTAATTTATAAAGGAAAGGTTTAGTAGACTCACAGTTCCACATGGCTGGGGACGCCTCAGCAAACTTACAATTATGGTGGAAGGTGAAACAGGAATGTCTTACATGGTGGCAGGCAACAGAGAGAATGCATGTGTAGGACATAGTGTCAAACATTTATAAAACCATCAGATCTCTGGAGAACTCACTATCATGAGAACAGCCTAGGGGAAACAGCCCCCATGATCCAATCATCTCCCACCCAGTCCTGCCCTGGACACGTGGGGATTATGTCCCCATAATCCTTATTTTATAAGGATTATGTAACTTATCTTACAAGTTAAGATAAGATTTCAAGGGGGACATAGAACCAAGCCATATCACACAAAGGAATCAGTTCTGTCACGGTGTTGTGATCTGCTCATGGGATGTGTGTTTTTTTTTCTCCCCATGTACAAATCTAGTGCATTATTCAAGACCAAGCCAAGCAGCTAGAAAGTTCTCATTCAATAATGTGTTCCCAGGTCACCTAAAACACAGGCTTTATGAGAACTCAATAACTATTTGTGTTTTCTGCTTCTATTCTCTTTGACCTCCTGATCTGATGTCATAGTACATGCTGGCTCTGACAGATGATTAAACACTTAGTTGTGTTCTGTTGCATTGTACTGTATTATATTGCTAGTATGTTTCATACATAACTATGGCTTATCAACTAGGCAGGAAGGGTATTTGGTCTTATGTATTAAATGAAAAGCCTGTGCTTTTGATTAAATTAGGATTCCACATGGCATGGCTTAGTGTCTAGGGGAAGAGCAGGAACAATATTTCACATTTTCTTCATGTTTCTCCAGGGACCTACTCAGGCACATACATCTCAACAAATAGTTGTTGCTTGGTTTTACAATGAGATCCTCAAACTTATTCAGGCTATTGCCAAGGCATTACTGTTTAAGGAAAAGTATGAATTCCCAAGTTTTAATGTTTTAAATGAAATATTTTACCTGATATTTAGCCATCTTGTTTGTATGACTTACAGTAAGTAATTTGGGTATTCTTTTATATTTCCACATCTGAGTAAGCTTACAGGACACAAACAGGATTTGCTCAGGGACTAAACAACTTTTAAAACTCTATAAATG